TTGGTTGCAGGCGAGAAATACGTGAAGAGCAAAAAAACAGGCGGCTGACGCGGGAAAGTGGGAAAGTGTCCCCACAGTTTCGAGGAGCCTTCTTCACTTCCACGCAAAAGCCTCAACGCAATTCTCACAAAGCCAAAGCCTGGTACCTAGATGGTCGATCCAGAGCCATGTGAATCCAAAGGCCGCACACATTTGCACCAAAATGTATTGCAAGTGGGAGGATCCCTTTTCACCTTCATCTACCTACCCGCAAAATCCCGCAAATTGGTATTGATGGCAAGAGGCTTGGACAGGAACTCCATCTCGGTGCTGAGCCACCTGTTGAACTCCTCCTTGGTCACCACCTCAGCGAGCCGCAGGAACGAGCCCGAAGCGAGCGAGCAAGCTTCGGGGCGTTGAAAGCGAACCGAAAAGCACGGCACCGAAGTCCAGACCCCAAGCACTCCATCGGAGCAAGCTAGATCTCTCCAGGTTGAACCGAAACATGCTGAGCATGCGGGACCCGCAAAGCATCCCTATGCCTGCAAGCTCCGAACGAACCAACATCGGGGAAGACATTGAGGCATGCAGCAATATCCTTCTCTGCCATCTCGATGCGAATCTTGTCAGTGAGGTCAGCGTACTCTTCTGTGGAATGCGGCTGGTAACCTGCAGCCCAGAAGTATGCCGCAATATCGAAATGTATTTAAACACATATGCGACTTGCGGGTGTTTCTCAAGGTCCGTGCAAACGCGTGGTTACCTTTTAATTCCCCTTCCAATACCAACCAAAGGGAAAGGTCTACCATTTTGAGAAACGTCCATCCGCGCGCTGGGGCCCAAGCCGTACATTTCCTGAAGCGCCTGCAGCCTCTCTTCCAGAGCCCTGGAGACTCGCCGGCTGCCGTCGGCCTGATGTCTCTTGTATCGGGAGGGCCCAGGGGCTCAGGTGCAGATAAGGCTCCCCAGTCTTTTCTGCCAGCGCCAACTCCTCCTCGGCCTGGCTGCGGTGTGCCAGTTTTGCTGCTCAAGACCAGCTTGAAGTCGCCATCCAATTTGGTAACTTTACCCTCCTTAAAGTCCTATGGCAAAACTTCAGGCCAAAGGAAAATGGCATCATTGGCGTGCAGGTGCCTCCTTGCGGACGATGTTTGTGAGGATGATGTGTCTCAAGGTGTTGGCAATGACCTGAGAGTTGCGCATATGCGTCCGCGCAAACAGCCAAGAGGGCAAACAAACAGACAGACCAACAAACAAACCGACCGACCGACCGGCGGGCAGGCAGGCAGGCAGGCATGCAGGAAGACCAAGCAAGCAAGCAAGCAAGCGAGCAAGCAAGCAAGCAAGCGAAGCAAGGAAGCAAACGAAGCAAGGAAACAAGGAAGCAAGGAAGCAAGGAAGCAAGGAAGCAAGGAAGCAAGGAAGCAAGGAAGCAAGGAAGCAGGCAAGGAAGCAAACAACCAAACAAACAAATTCTGGAGAATCCTTGCTGGCAAGGAGCCCACTCCGTTTTGGGTTGATTTTGCCCGAGTTGTCTTTGGCGCTTCTTGGTGCTGCCATCCGTGACGTTATCAATGAACACCGCCATGATGAGGTTGAAAATTCCAATAGTCACCTGCTCAGCCACAATTCCAATTGCACCAAAACAGGCGCTACCGTCCGACCCACCATGTAATATGCAGCGGGTGTCTTCATCTTGCGCCCCGATAACTGCACTCAACCTCCTCGTCCTACCCCGAACTGACCCACACGACGAAATGCAGCGCAAGCTCACCTGAAGTCTTACCGAGCTAGCATGCCGCCAAGACACAAATAGAAAAAGGAGGATGTAGGCAAACCTCAGTCTGCACCCTTGAAGTGTTGGATAGAGGAAGAATAGCTTGCTGCAGCTCTGCGTTGGCCACTCAAAACACCGCGTTTTGTAGGTGATGTGTACAGTTCGCGCAGCCATGAAAGTTTGCGCTGCAGCCAAGACGTGTCTAAAATCAGTTGCAGCGGGCTGACTTTGTCAGTCACAGAATCCAGGTACTGAGTCAAAGCGTGGACAGTAGTTAACAAGCCCAGCTGTTCCGGGCACGCCGACCTCCCGAAAGCCAGCCTGCTGAAATAGACGGAAGATCTGGCAGTGTCCAGCAAGCGAGGCCCTGTGTTCTCTCAGAAAATGTACCAAGCCAGGCCGGTTGTTTGTGTCCTGGTTGAGACGCTTGAGTATGTGAGGGCCTTGAGCCACATGGCAAATGAGAAATGTATATGTATACAAGATTGTGTGAAGGTCAGTCACTCTGGAAACACAGAACAAAACAGACACAAGCTTCTTCTGAGATCAGTATCTATTTTCTCGCGCGCACGTGCAATTGACCAAGTTCGTGAGCGCGAATCATCGAATCTAAAAAGCATCACAGAAAAGACCTTTTCGAGGTGGCATTTGGTTGGATATACCGCCGCGCTGTTGGGTTGCTAACCCTTCTTTCTTGCCACGCACGCAACGCCCGTAGAAGTACTCTGCCTCGTTGGAGCAAAGAGCGCAAGCAGCATTGTGTAGAAGATCGCGTACGTTGGGGCGATCTGCCATCGGAAAAGCCTTGCAAGGGCGTCGTTCACCTCGGAGGTCATGCGGCTAAGAGCGCTCGATGATTCCGGAGGCAGCTTCTTCTCCTTGTCCTTGAATTGCATCTGAATAAAGGACATGATCTTCTCGATGTTGTCGTGCTTTGAAAGCTCTCCCACAACGAGAAGTACCCGGTCGGATATCCTGACACGGGCTGAGTTTTGATGGTTGTTGAGGATCATCTCCATAGCACAACTCTTCCGGAGGACGGATCTTCTTCGGATCCAGGCACTTCAGGAACCACTCTTGGCCATCGTGGGCGAATCTCACAGTAAGCTTGGATCTTCAGTAAAAACACCTGGCAAGAATGCTCATACTCTGCCTTGAAACCCTGCGTGCTTCTGTCGGTGTAGAACGGATCGTTCACATACAGTTCCACCTGATGTAGGCTGGTTCTCTGGCTTTCGTGTCTCGTGGTAAAAACAATTCGACAGCATCTATTTCTCAGCAACCACGCGCACGCGATATAAACAAGAAGGTTGAATCCAAGTTCGTCAAACTGAGGACGAACTACATTGACTGGCCAAACTTTCTCGCCGTTGGTCCTCGAGCTCACTCTGGATGGTGAAGAACTTGTCCATGAAGATCCACTCAATGGGAACGCGTCTTGGTGTCTTGTTCTCATTCTATCCACATATCCTAAGAGTCTCAGGATCATTGGAACCGCAAAGGCTTTGGCCGATGCTCCAGATCTGTGGGATGGCTGCGACTGCGTTCGAATCCTCGCGGTGATTGCACCATAATCGTTGGCATCGAACCGTTCCACGCTGCCTTGAGGCTCCGGAGCACAGTCTCAATTAGGAAATGAACATGAGGAACTCGTTGTTGTCTCCTGCGTTTTAAGAAAAGTCTGTAAAGACACAGGTTCGTACTCGCCTTAAAAAGCACTGACTACTTCAGCGGGATCTTTCAGCTGTGTGTTGTCTACCAACTCTCTATACATGAGTGCATCGCCGCTCAATCCTTTTTTGAAGAGAGGTCCTCGTTTTTCAGGCTCCGCTGAAGTGAAAGCGATCCAATCATCTAGTTCCCCATACCTGCACCAGCTGACACGTCCGCCATTAACCAATTGCTTGCTTCCTCGACATGTCCTATCTGCCTGCTGCTTGCGGCATAGGATTCAAAGAAAGCTTCTCCATCTGATGACTTCATTTTCAGAAAAACTGTTCCGCTACCACAATTGTGGACCGATACAGAGGGGGTCAGGATCCCGCAGTAATTCAGGGTAAATTTGGTTCCCTGGATCCATTTCCGAAGTGCAAAAGAATTGTCACTTGGAAATTGAGGAACCTTGAATGTCTCCTGATTGAGCCTATCTGTCTCTTCCCTTGAAAATCACTTCAAGGCACGATCAGCTATGGCTCCTTCTGTTTACGCACTTGAGTATGTGACAAGAATGGGCTTCAGGGCCTTTAGCCCATATGGCAAACAACATGTATGCACATATACAAGATTGCATGAAGGTCAATCACTCTGAAAGCATAGTGTTGTCGCTGTCATCTCGCATATGTCAACATGCAGCTGCGGCGAAGCTCAGGGGTTCTCAAAGTTCTGACAACCTTTCCGGGTGGGGGAAAGGACAGGAAACGGCGTCACGTCCCAGAACTGGCGCCAAGTGGCATAAAAAATCCTCCCAGTTCCGACGTCTGGCGCAGCCGTTCTTGCAAGGGTGTACCATCATAGGCTGAACAGCCGTCCGTGAAGCAGCGAAAGGATGTGAACATGGCTGCAGGCACCGACGCAAACCTCGGATCAGAACTCCGGTTTTTAGGCAAGACTTCACCCGAAGTGTTTCGGAGAACAAGAGGAGAGTCATTTCAGGGCTACACGTGGCATATGTCGCTGAAACTACCTGGCTAAAAGTTGGTGTCGACTGAGCCACTCCTGATGCGCGGAGAAAAGCGTCCTGCAATGGTTGAACTCAGCAAAGAGACTCAGTCCATCTGCACAGTGAAACCCATGAATTCGATCAACATGGCACCAAAACATGCTGGGGGAATCTCCGTTTTGAGGTCGCCTCCCGTCCACGTTGCCATGAAACCCACTTTGAAGGGAAACGTTGAACGGTTCCATGGCGGTGTGATTGGTGGGTTCCATGTGTCGATCCGTCGGTCCTGGTGACCACTCCAAGGAGGTACATGCAGCCCACCAGGAGCACCACTGCCCAGAAGAGCACCCGAAGGCCTGTGAACACCTCGAAACATGTTTTTCACCGCAGCTAGCGGCGAGTTCGAATGAGGAAGCCGCTACGCGCACGCTAATCGATGGACCGAAATCCATCTCGAACCACTTTGACAAGAAGGGAAACCATGGTTTGTTGGTATGTATAGGGGAATAGTCATTCCAGGGATTCTTAGGTGATGCAGGATTTCAGCCATCCACAGTACCTGTCATGATGTGGATACGCCCATCGGCACGTGGGATGGGTGCTTGATCAAGTCTTCAAAAAGAAGTTCCTTTCCCGCCCAACTGATGCGAAGTGGACTTTGCCCGTCCACCGTACCTCAAACGCAAGACTTCAAGACTGGCATCTCAAACGTCAGCTTCGGAGGAATAGAACGAAAGGCGGAGGGCCAGAGGAATCCGCGTTTGGGGGATATGAGTGGCTCGTCTTTTTTAAAAGAAATCTCCGGCTCCCGACTTGCTACCAACTCCCCCAACAAAAAAGTATCGACGAGCCACCCCTAGGTCACCCACCTTCGATTCGAAATTCCCCTCAGGTCCCGACCCCCTGAATCATCAACTTCAGCTCCTACTTGGTCCACGTGGGTCTAGTCTTTTTGAGTTGGGGTCCCTTGGTCTTGGTGGTTACCAAAAGGGAGACCAAGAGGAAAACTGCCCAAACTCCGCCATTTGGGTGTGTCTGCATCCTGAAAAAGAGGAGCCGCCCATTTGGCGATCTGACACATTTCTCTGAACGAAAAGCTGCTTGGTGGACATGTCTTGTTTTTGCTGTTTAATGCAAATGGCAGCTCCATGCGTCTATCAACATTCACAACGCAAAATCAACATTCACAACGCAAAATGCAGCGTTCTGGGAATTGTGACTGCAATGGAACGTATTTGAAGGGGCAATTATAACCAGCGTCATACTGGGAACCAACCCCTCGTTCTCATTGGATGGCAGCAACGAGGTGTTCCGCTTCCTGTTTCGGTCCCCACTTTTGAGTAACCCATGGCCCTCAGCGCCGTCGCATGCCTAGAACGTCGCCCACTTCTGAATTTGGGGGACTTAGATGACTCACGGGCAAGACGCGCGAACCATGACACGGTGAGCGGTCCACGCATGACCTCGTGGCTATTTGTTCGCCAGTCCAAATGAATGTCTAAAGACATGCAGCCCACGCAGGGCCATTGTAGGCCATACCTTTCTTGTAAAGGTGATACATGTGTGTGCTTGTTGTGCTTGTCGGTTGCCAGCGTCCTGAAAGATCTTGAACTTGAGCAATCGGACTATGCGGCCCAGGCGGGCCAATTTCAGCATCTTCAAAGTACCCAGAGTTCCTGCGAAAGCCGCTCACGAGTCAATGATGTGTGAGACACAGTCAACATTTCTTGCGCACCAGAGCGAAAAACTTCAGTTCCCAGCAAAGGAACGAGGTATGAACAGCGGAAATGGCAGAGTGTGAGTTTGGCAACCCCCAATTTTTTTTCAGGGAGGTTGTTCTGCTCTTGTGACCCATCTACATATCCCCGTAGAAAGGAATGCCCAAGGAAATGACAAGGGCTCACCTGTGTTTCTGCTCTTTTCTGTCCTTCTCTTTTGTTGGGTACCCCTTTCAAGGTTTCTTTGCAGGTTGACACATGGCCAACCGTGGCCAACCGTTGGGAGTCCACATCCCGCGAGCGATTCCCGGGACTCTCCTGCCGCGGAATTCTCGGCCACCGGCTCGCCCGGCTTTCTGGCAGCCATGTTCCCATACGTGATGCCCATGTCGATCAGCGCCAGAATCACCTCGAGACAACACGCGGAAGCATTGCCGTGTCCAAGCTGAAAATGGGGTTAAAGGGAAAGCAACGGGAAGCCACCCTTTGCGTGGAGGTTCCCCTGTTTTGAGACAAACACACCTACTTTGAAATGAATGAAGAGTCCAAAAGAACAAGAGCTTTGCATGAGAAACAAACACAATACACAGGTACCGCAACAAGAACTGACCGTGCAGCACGAGAAGCGCAGAGAATGTCGAACCAACTCCAGTACCAATCAGATCCACAAAGAAAGTCTCTCCGGCCGAAGACCCTGAATTTCACAATGATCTCCTGGCAGACGCTTTGAGACCCTTGCGTCAACTGCAAGAATCCGCAGCGGCTGAAGGAAAAAAAAACATCGGGACAAAAAGAACCGCCATCAGCTTCACGGTGCTTCCATTGCAATCTGTTGCCCGACAATCACCCGGGGGTCAGCTTTTTGCACAAAACGACCCAAGCTTTCCACTGGAAAGCAAAAAAAGGCAAGCCCTCGCAAACCTGTCAGATCGCTCGGCAGGAAGCCTGCCTGGCATGTTCTTGCCGCTCGTCAATTCCTTTTTGAGGGCCCAAGACTCCAACTACGCTCGATGCGAAGGATTTCATGAGATCGCCGGCGCTTGTGACCAAACCATCATGACCTGGAAGCTTTTGGGTCAGCTCGCCACAATTCCTGCCAGAATTGGGTGGGAACCGCGGGGTATGAGCCACGGAAGTACTTCCGCCCATTTCAGACCCAAAGGCTTCGCTCCAGGCGCACGCTGCGAGTCAAAGGGATTTGACCCCAAAATTCCTGTGGGTTTTCCCGGTACCCCGACAACAAAATCCCGAGCCTCAAACAGAGCACATCCGGCAACTCTGAGCAAACGCGTGTTCAATACAACAGTCCCTTCGCTACGCCAATTAAATTGATGCACCATGTCTCCAGGCCACGCTGACGCTACAGTTGGTCGACCCCACGCCCCGCCTTATCTGGCTGTGGGTCAAAAGTAGGTATCCAAAATGGAACCATGGTAAATGGAAATATGGACTAAAACCTGCGGTCCCCTGGTGGTTTAATTCTGACCCATACCCATCTGGGTGCTGCCCCCCTCAGTCCCCAATGAAGAACACCGTGAAGGAGATCTCGAAGACCTCACCAACGACTCCCAAGTTGGGTGACCCTGAAATCCGCATCGGCACCACCAGCGAAAGGGCGCTTACTTGGGGTCCAAGAATTCATCCTGATCGGGCCTGAAGACCTGGACACGAACAGGTTTCCATTCAAAAACTTCTTGAAGACCCCATATGGTGTTTCCCCCTAAGCCTCGAAAGGCCACCCTCAAGAAAAACATGGATACACACAATCGCGGCACAGGGCGACAGTGATCTCAGGCCTGTTTGGCCTAGCTGTGTCCTGCCAAGGAGTGTTTGCAGGTCTGCGCTTCTGCGCTCCCAGGCAGGGGCTGAACTGGGAAGGGTCGCAGGGCCAACGAGTTGCTGCAAAGAAGGCGGCAGGTATGTGGCTGTGGCTCAAAAAACCGGTACCGAAATGGAACCGCAAGTGGAAACATGGACCAAAACCTGCGGTTTGCCCCTCCTGCCTAATTTTTAGACACACCCATGTCTTTAGGGTCACAGGTTGCGGGTTCTGCAAGAGCTGCAGGTGTCGCTGACCGCCAAACTCATCGTGCCGCGCGCTGGCGCGGCCGTTGAAAGCTGGAGACAACAAAGGAAGTCCACATGGCCATGGGCCAAAATCCAAATCCCGTACCCCCAGTGAACATCCCAGATCCCCCACTAAAATAGGTTCTAAGATGGGCGGCGCAGCCACCAAACTGGGATCCCAAAACGGTTTTCACACCCACGGCCACCTCTCGGGCGCATGTTTTTTTGTTCGGCCCCGCGCACGGGACCCCCAGTCCACTGAAGCGGCGCCTTCCAGATGTCGTGGTCCGGCTCAATGTCCGCGCTGAGGCCGGCCACCTGTGCCGCTTCTCATGGCCGGGCAAACACCCCGGTACCCCAAAGCCGGGCCCCCAGCTTCCCTGGCAAAAATGGACCAAACAGAACGGGGGTTACCCAGAAAGGGAGTGCCTCTGGGCTTTGACCACACCCATCCCCCAAAGCGGAACAAATGGGGGACATATTCGGAATGATTCAGTCCACTGAAGGAAACTCCCATGGCAACGTCAAAGATGTTTCAACCAGCACAAAAGAGATTGATGTGTGGGTCTGTTTTTGCATTTTGGGGTGGCCAAGAGGGGGAGGGGGGGTCCCCTAAACAAGAACACACCAATTTGCCACTTCAGCAGCTGATGTTGAAACCGCCTGAGGGGAAATTACAGAGACCCCTAGGAGACATGTGCAGCGTCCCATGTCGATGTCCAAACTTCCGAACCAAGGCACAGCTGCAGAGAGCAGAATCACGAGCGCTGGTACCACGTCCAGAAGCAATAAGAACATGGACCCAGCCTCAGCATTCAGCTCCCAAGAAACATCAAAGCGGTCCAGCGAGTCCAGCGAGCTAAGCCACTCCTACCCCTTGTTTCAATGAAACTCACCGGCTTTGGGGCGTGACATCAAAAAGACCAAGGGTCGCATGGTGAGTCCATGTGAGCCCCCGAGCTGCGGCCGAGCATCCTCTGTTTCGGCATCGCCCGGCGGCTTTGCCGGAGATAGCCGCGAGTTCCTCAATCCGTTGGCTCAACAGCGTTCTGTTCGATTCCCACAGGAGTGGGGGTTGTATTGGGGAAAATGCCGCAATACCCAAAAGAGGTAAGAAAAGAGGTAAGAACAGAGGTAACATGCAAAACCATAATAATTTTCAACCTTGTCTTGATGCACCGGCATTGGGACAGGAGAAGCCACCAGAGACTTGAAGGCGCTGAATTGCAGAAAAAAGATCCTCGCGACTGCGAGCATTAGTTGCTCCTTGTTTTCGGCGAGCGAAGATTTAGCCTTATCTGAGGGCGCCACTTTGAAGCTCGTTGGGGTGAAGGTTTTTGCTGGTTCGGTTTAAGGCTTTGGGGGTTAGATAGGGTTCTTTAGATTGCAAGTGTACTTGTTGCAGCTTTGTGCAGGATGTGCTGTTGCTTGCAGGGCAGGGTTGTGGGGGTTCGGCTAAGGTTGTTGGATCAAAAGGTTCAAGGCTCTAGGTTTGGGGTTGGAGAAGCACTGGCGCGCACATTTTGTGGACCGTTGCAAATTGGCAGGACACTTCTGGACGCAGACCTGTTCGCTTTCTCGTCTCTGGTCGTCCGCACGTGGCACATATTGCTTTCCATGTTGCTTTTCACTCGCGTCGGAATGCACAGTCATCCTTCCTTCAAGACGTAGCACTAGCAGCCCAAATTGACAACCCCATTAAGATATGCATATATATATATATACATATGGTACCCCCTGGAATACTCAATTTGTTGTTCAAAAAATAAGGGTGTTGCCTTTCTCTGAATGTAAAGTGCA